AGACTACCATCGCCTCGCTGGGGAAGAAGTTGCACCTCAAGCAGGTCGAAGGGGTCATCAAGTACTGCGGACGTACCATCACCAAGCTCGACGACGAGTTCCGCGCGATCCAGGCCACCGCTGCAGCGCAGGTGGACTTTGTCGACCTGAAGGCCACCAAGGGCCGAGGTGCCGAGGACCGGCTCACCGCCACCGAGGCGACGAGCTACCGCCACGCGCTTGGGCAGCTGTTGTGGCTAGCGGTGCAGACCCGGGTAGACGCAGCCTGCCCGGTGAGCTTCGCAGCTCGCCGCACCAACGTCGCCACCGTGGCCGACGCGAAGACGCTCAACAAGACGGTTGACTACCTGCACTCCACCGCGAGCTTCGCGATCGTGCTCAAGCGCAAGCTCGTCGACCTGGAGACGGCCATCACCGCGTGCTTCAGCGACGCCGCGTTCGCCAACGTGGACGGCGTCAAGAGCCAGTGGGGCATGGCGATGAGGCTCACACCACCCGCGCGACGTCGTCGGTGGTCGCTACGACCTGTGTCTGCCAGTCGCCTGGCACTCCGGCACGGTCAAGAGGTCGGTGAAGTCGACCCTCGCCGCCGAGGGCTACGCCACCCTCGAAGGATCGGAGACCAACATTTGGTTCCGACAGCTGCTCACCGAGGCCTACAACCCCAAGACGGCGCTCAAGCAGATTGGCGTGCTCGCCGACAAGCGCCCGGGGGAGATCTACAGCGACAGCAAGGGCCTCGCGTCGCACATCCAGTCCGATGTGGGCCAGTCTACGGACAAGCGGTTCCGCATCGTCGCCTCCATGATCAAGGAGGCCGTGCATCCCAACGGCGCGCTCAAGCTCAGTTGGATCCCGACCTGGGCCATGGTCGCGGACGCCCTGACGAAGGCCATGGAAGCCGGCGCCCTGCTGTCGTTCTTCGGGGCCCGCAAGCACACCTACGGGGCCCGGCGGCCGCGCGCCGCCATGCTCGCCTCGGTGCTGTTTACCTGCCTCGGCAAGGTCAAGGGACAGCAGACGCCTACGCCGACGACGCCGGACTTCAGCTACTACCTGTGCTTGCTGACGTCCGCGCGGTTCTACGGCATGGCCATCGGTTTCGGCATCTTCATGATGCTGTGGACGATCATGAGGCAGAACCACGCGATTGCCACCGAGCAGAGCGTCGCCGAGGCCAAGGCCATGGGTGAGCACCCTGGCTGGGACGGCCGCCTACTGGGCCGGCGCCGCAACATACTGACGATCCCTGAGGACCGTGACTACGACGGCGATGTCATCATGCAGCCCCCTGGAGGCGCAAGCAGTGCGAGTTCAGCGACATCGGCGTCTGGCGTGTCTTTCGGACACCATCCATCGCAGCCACCAATTCCAGCATTTCCAGCACTGCAGCAGCCGCCGACGCCGCCAACACCGCCACCTTCCAGTGCATCGCCACCACCGTGTACGGCAACATCGACCCTGGGATTGGGACGATCGAGGTCAGCAAGGGCCTCAAGCAGCTCAGGCAGCTCGGCACCTACATCGCCAAGCATCGTTTCCGTGACGAGCTCATCGAGTGCGATCAGCGCCAGTGGAGTCCAGTGGCACGGGTCGTCGCCTACGGTAGAGCCCAGCGACCTGCTTGATTGCATCAGCAACCGGCACGACTTCGTGGTCGGCCACAACACGCACAGCGTATACATCACCTGCAAGAGCTGCAAGAAGCACGCGTCTTGGTTGACCCGTTGGTGAAAAGATTTACACGTAACTCCGCATTTCAGAAGCTTCAGTTCAGTGTGCACAGTTTTTGATGCGATGACGATCACACCCATTCAGATGGCTATTTTGAGTTGTGTCGCCTCGCGATCGGACTCTAGCCATGCCTTGTCTTTGATTATAGCGCCGGCGGCGCTGAGAGCTGTTGAATACCTTGCAGGTCGCGTGTAGCGCATCCGCTTACGTGCCCCGACGGGCTACCTGCGATTGCAAGCCGTGTCGAGCCGTTTGCTCGCCTTCTGCCAGCGCGCCTGGCCTCCGCCTAATGAAGTTAGCGCCAGGCTTATATGCCCGGCTGCTCACGGCGCATCGCGTGCGCCCGCCCGCTGGTTGTGAGCACCGTGCAGGAGGAGTGTGATTCCAGAAGGCTCGGGAGTCTCCTCACGTGCTCTCTGCCGCCGTCCGCCCGTTTTGGCTCTAATAATTTTAGGGCCCTTGGCTGATTGAGCTACGATCCGCTTTGCGAGCGTTTCCAAACGATAGATCCGCGATCTTTCCATATCACACATCTCTCTCTCTATCCCTCTCTCTTTCCCCCCCTCCTTCCCCCCTATTGGGTGTTGTGTTGGGCACGGAGGGAGTTGGGCACAAGGAGAGCAGGGGCGGGCGGCGGGCGGGCGCGCGGGCGGGCGGCGGGCGGGATCGGGATGTTAATAGAACTCCTAGGGAGGGTGTCTTGCATCGGGAACTTGTTGAGTACAGGGTGTTGTGTTGGACGCGGAGGCTGTTGAGTACAGGGTGTTGTGTAGGACACGGAGGCTGTTGAGTATTGGGTGTTTGTTGGACACAGAGTGTTGAGCACAAGGAAAGCGAGGGCGGTTGGCGGGCGGGCGCGCGGGTGGGCGGCGGGCGGCGGCGGGATCGGGATTTTGCTAGAACTCCTAAGGAGGGTGTCTCGCAGCGGGAATTTGTTGAGTACAGGGTGTTGTGTTGGACACGGAGGCTGTTGAGAACAGGGTGTTGTGCTGGGCACGGAGGCTGTTGAGTTTTGCGATATGTGATGGACACGGAGAGCGTTGACACTAGGAGAGCGGGGGCGGGCGGCGGGCGGGATCGGGTCGAATGGAATTCCTAGGGAGGGTGTTTTGCAGCGGGAGCCTGTTGAGTACAAGGTGTGATGTTGTTGTTGGGCACGGAGGCTGTTGAGTACAGGGTGTTGTGTTGGACACGGAGGCTGTTGAGTACTGGGTGCTGTTTTGGACACAGAGAGAGTTGAGCACGATGAGAGCGGGGGCGGGCGGGCGGGCGGGCGGCGGGCGGCGGCGGGATCGGGATTTTGCTAGAACTCCTCAGGAGGTGTCTTGCAGCGGGAACTTGTTGAGCACAGGGTATTGTGTTGGACACGGTGGCTGTTGAAATCAGGGTGTTGTATTGGGCACGGAGGTTGTTGAGTATTGTGTTCTGTGTTGGACATGGAGAGCGTCGACGCAAGGAGAGCGGGGGCGGGCGGCGGGCGGGCGCGAGGGCGGGCGGCGGGCGGCGGGAGGGATCGGGATTTTACTAGAACTCCTAAGGAGGGTGTCTTGCAGCGGGAGCCTGTTGAGCACAAAGTGTTGTGTTGAGCACGGAGGCTGTTACATACTGGGTGTTGCGTAGGACACGGAGGCTGTTGGTTTTTGGGTGTTGGACACAGACAGAGTTGAGCACGATGAGAGCGGGGGCGGACGGCGGGTGGGCGCGCGGGCGGGCGGCGGGCGCCGGCGGGATCGGGATTTTGCTAGAATTCCTCGGGAGGGTGTCTTGCAGCAGGAACCTGTTGAGTACAGGATGCTGTGTTTGGCACGGAGGCTGTTGAATACTTGGTGATGTGTTGGGCGCGGAGGCTGTTGACTACTGTGTTTTGTGATGGAGACGGAGAGAGTTGAGCACGAGGAGAGCGGGGGCGGGCGCGAGGGCGGGCGGCGGGCGGGATCGGGAGTTGAATGGAACTCCTAAGGAGGGTGTCTTGCAGCGGGAGCCTGTTGAGTACAAGGTGTTGTGTTGGGCGCAGAGGCTGTTGAGTACTGGGTGCTGCGTAGGACACGGAGGCTGTTCAGTATAGGGCTTTTGGGCAACACCACCTGGTCCTCTGAGGCTCGCTGTCGTCTGTCTTGGCTCTGGCGAAGGGCCGTTCTTCGGCCCCCGGCGTCTGCGGCGCCCTTCGCGCAGTCGCGGCGCATGTTGCAGCGACGGGGCTGCGGCCTGGCGCCCGCTGGCTCCCCAGCGAGTGGAATTTCGCGGACGGTCCCTCGCGAGGTCTGCGGCACGCTCAGCGCTGAGACGGCGGCCGCGAGCGACCTCGTCGAAGTTGGCCGCAGTGGCGCCGAGGTCGCGAGTGCTGCCGCGCGAGGAGGCGACCTCGGCGCCCGCGCTGAAGCGGTTGCTGGAGGAGAGCCAGGGTGGCTGCTGGCCGCGCTCGGGGGAAACCACGCCGGCGACCTCCCAGAGGGTCAGAAGGCAGAAGCTGGCCCGCCATTCGGCCAAGGTGCTGGAGGCTGGCTCCCTGGACGCGCTCCGCCTGAGCAAGGTGCGGACGCAAGCTGTGCGGAGCCGGTACCAGCAGCTAACCGACGAGTTCGACGAGCGGCTAGCCGAGCAGGGCCTCCAGCCGCGACCGAGGTTCTCGGTCCACGGTCGTGCCACGCTGCCCTTGACCGAGAGCGACGCGGCGGCTTTGGACCTCAGCCTGGCCAGGTGGATGTTGGGGCAGTGCCTGGAGGGCGTCGACCACTGGCGCGGGGTGCAGATGCTGGCAGCGCTGCAGTGGAGCGATCCGCGGCTCGGACGCGACGGTTCCGCGCGGCTGCCTGCGGCTCGGCAGTCCCTGCGCGGCTGGAAGGTGCTGACGCCGCCGCTGACCCGCTTGCCGCTGCCGGAGGAGCTCGCGGCCGCGCTGACTTGCGAGCTCGTCGGCCAGGGGCACTGGGAGGCTGCGGCCCGCATGGTCCTGACGATGGTGTTGCCCGGCGAGTGGGCTCGCGCTCAGGTGCAGCACGCCGCGCCGCCGCGCGGGAGCGGGAGCCTGGCCCTCCGCCACTGGGCGCCGGTGCTTCACCCCCGCGACGGGGTCGACCCCAAGCCCAGCAAGACGGCCGAGTTCGACGAAAGCCTGGTCCTGGATCTCGACTGCGACCAGCGGCCAGGCGGGGTGCTGCACCGCTCGAGGCAGGGGAAGGCCCGCGAGGCGAGCCTCTTCACGCTGACGGCTGACGATTGCCCTGCTTATCCGGGGCGCCGCACGGCGCCTGGGGCTTCCAGGAGCGATGCTCTATCTGCTTCGCCATTCCGGGGCCAGCAGGGACTTCGCGAACCAACTGCGGCCGCTGTCGGAGGTCAAGCGCAGAGGCAGGTGGATGAGCGAGGCGTCGGTCCGACGCTACGAGAAGGGCGGAAGGCTTGCGGAGCAGTTCAGCAAGTTGCCGCCCGACCTGGAGAAGCACGCCCTCAGGTGCCACCGCGCGCTCCCAGAGGTTCTCTTAGGGGGGCGCGCTGCCCCGCCGTTCCAGGCGCGCTCACGGCGAGGGTGTTCTTGGAGATATTCGCCAGGTCAGGGCGCCTCAGCCGCGCGATGGCGCGTCGCGGCTATCACGTGCTGGCTTGGGACCCGAAGCACGGCCCCGACTTCGACTTGCGGGAGCCACGGAAGCGCCAACTAATCCGCGGTTGGATCCAATCAGGCTTGGCTTTAAGCGTGCATCTCGGCACCCCGTGCGTCAGTTGGTCTCGCGCGCGCGATATTCAGCCAGGCCCCCCTCGCCTCCGCCATGATGCGCACGTGCTTGGGCTGCCTGATTTGTGTCCGTCAGCCCAGGCCGCTGTTGAGTTTGGCAACTTGATCATGCGATGTTCAGTTTCAGTGCTCACTGTCGCTCGTCGGATGCAAATCCCTTGTACAACGGAGAACCCCAGCACCTCCAGGCTTTGGCTAGCCACTCAAGTTGCCTCACTTGCCCAGTCTCGTGCATGGTCATTTGACAGCACGGGTTTCTGTCAGTGGGGGGCCCCGTGGAGGGAGCGGACTTCCTTTCTCGGTTCCCGCATCGATCTCGCTAGCTGCGTCAGACTGCGTAAGCGCGCTCAGGGGCGTTGCAGCAGAATTGGCAAACCCCGCCAGGCGTTGGAAGGCCGGGCGCCCGACTGTCGATTTTGGACCGCAGTCGCGGAGGCCTACCCTGCCCGTCTTTGCCGCTCGATCGCGGGTGCTTTCGATGGCGCGATCGTGTGCCGCAAAGCCGCTGCTATGCAAAGCAGATTGCAAATGCGTGTTAATGTTGTGACGGCCACTGGCCATTCGACTTCGCTGTTTTTTGGCAATTGTCAGCTTTGGGGTTTGTGGCATCGCGATTCCTTGTGCGTTGTCTCATTTCACGATCGCAGGTGGCGAGCGCTCTTCGAGAAAAACAGAGTGCTTGATCAAAGCGCTTTGCGCATGGCACGGCCAGATCACGGGGATACAGTTTAGTGTTTCACACGTGTTTGAATCCCTCGTGGTCATTGCCGATGCCGTCCATTTCATGGCCCTATTGCTCAAGTCTCCCCCCCTCCCTCCCTCGTGTTTTTCCTTTTTTTGGCTTCCTCGGCCTGCAGACTTTGTGGAGTTTGTGGCATCGCGATTCCTTGTGCGTTGCCTCTTTTCACGATCGCAGGCGGCGAGCGCTCTTCGAGAAAAACAGAGTGCTTGATCAAAGCGCTTTGCGCATGGCACGGCCAGATCACGGGGATACATGTTGCTGCCGTCTGCATTGAGGATGAACAGCTTTCCAACGTTACGTTTGCATCCATCCCCTTCGGCCCATCCTTGGCCGCTTTCTCTGGCCGCGCCACGGTCGCAAAGTGTGGGCATGGCCGTCCAAGGCCCTTGCATCCTTCCCGCGCATCCTTACTATGTTGGTTGACTGTTGTGTCCTGTCCCTGTTGCCTCGCTTGCGTGCCTGCATTCGCTTCTGGCGCAGCCCACCGCTCGCTTTGACCAGCGCCCGACCGTCTCGCACGCCCTGGCGCCCGCGGGATTTTTAATTTACGGAAGGTTCGTTCAAGGTTGAACGATCGACGCAGTGAGAAAAGCTTTCGCGCTCGCCGACGCCGCACGAACCTACCGTAGGGTCTTGTCCCTGCTGGCTGACTCTCCACGGCTCTTTCGACGAACGCCTGCCCAGCGCGCTCGTTGGGACTCCGTTTGTTCGCCCAGTTCGTCGAGGCACGGCTCGCAAGTTTGGGCCATTGGGTTCCCGTCCGCGCGTCCGAAGACAGCCCGGAAAGGACCCGCCCGCCTCGTCTTCGTCGTCGTCGTCGTCGACGTCACCTTCGTCATCGTCGTCGTCTTCGTCGTCGTCTTCGTCTTCGTTTTCGTCGTCGTCGTTGGCATTGTTTTCGTAGCCGTTTTGGACGTCGTCAGCGTCGTCGAACTGGCGGTGGTCGTTATCGTCGTCGTCACGCGTCCTCGTCTCCTTTCGTCTATATCGTCGTCGTCGTCGTCGTCGTCGTCGTCGTTTGAATCGTGGTGGCTCTCGTGGGATAGCTTTTGCGGGGCAACTTCCTTGGAGGTAGTTTCCCGATCTATTCTCACCCGATGTCGTTTTCTTGTCGGTTTCGTCCTCAGTGTTCCATCCCGCCTCCGTGTCTGATGGCCCTGGGGGCCCCGAGGGCGGTCTCCGCGCGCTGGCGTTCGGAAGAGGCACTGACGGAGCAGAGCGCATCCACTTTGTCCTTTCTGGCCGGGTCGACCAACTGGGCGCCGGCGGTAAACCGTCAACCTTTCTTACCGCCGGGGGACTCGCAGAGCTTCCTGACAACATAATGTCGACAAAAATTACACAGAAAAATAGTTTTTCAGCCCAAGTAATTCCAGACCTCTCGGATGCAACAGCCGAACGCCGTCGGATCCGGTTTAAGCGCGGGGCCCCCGAGTTCCCGAGGCCCCAGACCCCGCTCGGCCAGCTTCTCAGATCAGGGTTCCAGGGGCCCCGGAAGAACGGCTCCTAAGCTCGCCTTCCATTGCGGCGAGCTGAGGAGGAGGTGGGCGGCGGCGCCCTGCTGGGCCCTCCTGCCAGCACACGGGTGCCCGCCGCGGCGCCATGGAAGCACGCGCGCGCCGCGGCCAGAGAAGGAGGAGAGGGGGAAGGAGCGTAGCACTAATTACGGCGGGGGCGTTCGTTAAGGAATGTGCCCGGCAGACGTCAGACCCTGGAGGCTGCCTTATCTGATGAGGGCGGCAGTGTTATCCATGGCCACGCATTTATGGGTGTTCCGCCGTTTTCCAGGCCTTTGATTGTTACCTAACAGCGAAGACTGATAGGTTTCTAATGGTGTAAAAAGAGAGCAGCACATTACTCCAACATTACTCCACAGGGGGGTCTGGGCAGCCGTTGGGGAGCCGTTGGGGGCCGTTGGGGGGCCGTTGGGGTTTGCCGGGGGGGATCGTTTTTCGCATACAGTCACACACTTCGTGCTTTTCGATTTCCCAGAACTCCATTCTTCGACCTCCCAGAACTCCATTCCCGGGCCACATTCTGAATGCCCGGAGCCAACTGTAGGCCACTTCGTGGTCTTCGAGTTCCCAGAACTCCATTCCCGGGCCACATTTTGGATGCCCGGAGCCAACTGTAGGCCACTTCGTGGTCTTCGAGTTCCCAGAACTCCATTCCCGGGCCACATTTTGGATGCCCGGAGCCAACTGTAGGCCACTTCGTGGTCTTCGAGTTCCCAGAACTCCATTCCCGGGCCACATTTTGGATGCCCGGAGCCAACTGTAGGCCACTTCGTGCTCTTGGACTTCCCAGAACTCCATTCCTGGGTATGATTTTGAATGCCCGGAGCAAACTGTAGGCCACTTCGTGTTCTTCGAGTTCCCAGAATTCCACTCCCTGGCCACATTTTGAATGCTGAGGCAGGCTGATGCTGAGGCTGAGGCAGGCTGAGGCAGGCTGAGGCTGAGGCCGAAGCTGAAGGCAGACTCAGGCTGAGGCTGATGCAGGCTGAGGCTGAGGCTGAAGCAGGCTGAGGCTGATGCAGGCTGAGGCTGAGGCAGGCTGAGGCTGAGGCTGAGGCTGAGGCTGCAGGCTGCTGAGGCTGAGGCTGAGGCAGGCTGAGACTGAAGCCGAGGCTGAAGGCAGATTGAGGCTGAGGCTGAAGCAGGCCGAGGCTGAGGCTGAGGCTGAGGCAGGCTGAGGCTGAGGCTGAGGCAGGCTGATGCTGAGGCAGGCTGAGGCTGAGGCTGATGCAGGCTGAGGCTGAGGCAGGCCGAGGCCGAGGCCGAGGCTGAAGGCAGACTGAGGCTGAGGCTGAAGCAGGCTGAGGCTGAGGCTGAGGCAGGCTGAGGCTGAGGCTGAGGCTGAGGCAGGCTGAGGCTGAGGCAGGCTGAGGCTGAGGCTGATGCAGGCTGAGGCAGAGGCAGGCTGAGACTGAAGCCGAGGCTGAAGGCAGATTGAGGCTGAGGCTGAGGCAGAGGCAGGCTGAGGCTGCGGCTGAGGCAGGCTGATGCTGAGGCAGGCTGAGGCTGAGGCTGAGGCTGATGCAGGCCGAGGCTGAGGCAGGCTGAGGCTGAGGCCGAGGCTGAAGGCAGACTGAGGCTGAGGCTGAAGCAGGCTGAGGCTGAGGCTGAGGCAGGCTGAGGCTGAGGCTGAGGCAGGCTGATGCTGAGGCAGGCTGAGGCTGAGGCTGAGGCTGATGCAGGCTGAGGCTGAGGCAGGCTGAGGCTGAGGCCGAGGCTGAAGGCAGACTGAGGCTGAGGCTGAAGGCAGGCTGAGGCTGAGGCTGAGGCAGGCTGAGGCTGAGGCAGGCTGAGGCTGAGGCTGATGCAGGCTGAGGCTGAGGCAGGCTGAGGCTGAGGCCGAGGCTGAAGGCAGACTGAGGCTGAGGCTGAAGCAGGCTGAGGCTGAGGCTGAGGCAGGCTGAGGCTGAGGCTGAGGCAGGCTGATGCTGAGGCAGGCTGAGGCTGAGGCTGAGGCTGATGCAGGCTGAGGCTGAGGCAGGCTGAGGCTGAGGCCGAGGCTGAAGGCAGACTGAGGCTGAGGCTGAAGCAGGCTGAGGCTGAGGCTGAGGCAGGCTGAGGCTGAGGCTGAGGCAGGCTGATGCTGAGGAGGCTGAGGCTGAGGCTGAGGGCAGGCTGAGGCTGAGGCCGAGGCTGAAGGCAGACTGAGGCTGAGGCTGAAGCAGGCTGAGGCTGAGGCAGGCTGAGGCTGAGGCTGAGGCAGGCTGAGGCAGGAGAGGCTGAGGCTGAGGCTGAGGCTGAGGCAGGCTGAGGCTGAGGCTGAGGCTGAGGCTGAGGCTGAGGCTGAGGCTGGCTGATGCTGAGGCAGGCTGAGGCTGAGGCTGAGGCTGAGGCAGGCTCAGGCTGAGGCAGGCTGAGGCTGAGGCCGAGGCTGCAGGCAGACTGAGGCTGATGCAGGAGCAGGCTGAGGCTGAGGCTGAGGCAGGCTGAAGCTGAGGCTGAGGCTGATGCTGAGGCAGGCTGAGGCTGAGGCTGAGGCTAATGCAGGCCACTGCGACTGTCATCGCGAATGCGACTACGACTGCGAGAACAGCAGAACTCTACAACTGGATTCTCATCTGAATCTTAAGGGGGATGCTTCCATATATGCTCCTACACATCGCTGTTAGGTTGCTTTGCCGGGATAATTTTATCTGATGGTTCCTTATCCAGTGTCCTTCGCTGTAT